GCTCTGAAGAGATGAGCTCATGGGTGGGAGGTGTGTATCAACAGTGAGTCAGCTCCTGCACAGCCAAGGCTGAATGGGGAGCCCAGGCTCAGGTGTTTCTGAGGAAGTTCACTCACAAAGCAGCCTTCCCTGAGACCATGCCCATGCCAGACGACTGCTGGGCCCAGGGGACACAGACAGTAAGAGTGAAGGCCCACCCTGGCGCCCGGGCAGTGTGACGCAGGAGGGGCAGGCAGCTGTGCTGTGACGCCGTGGCCGGCGTGCCCCAAGTGCCGCGGGGTACCTGGCTGGGGCTGGCCCTGGTCCCCAACCGGCCTTGTCTGTGTTCCAGAGGGAGCTGAAGGAGCAGCTCCAGGCCCTTCAGGACAGTGAGCGGGAGCACACCGAGGCGCTGCAGCTGCTCAAGCGACAGCTGGCCGAGACCAAGGTGAGCCCGGCTGCGGGGCGGGGCCACGGGAAAGGTGGGGTACGCCCCCCCCACAAAGACTGGCCGACTCTAGGGGAGAGCTGTGGAGGTGCGAAGGCTCCAAGGTGAGTGAGGGCAAGGGCTGGGACAGGCACTGTGTGAGGATGGGGCTCCTCCTCCCTTCTGTCCCGAGTGGACTCCAGGTAGACCCGGGCCTCCAGAGCTGGCCCTGGGTCTGGAGGATGCCAGACTTTTCCTCTATTCACAGAGCTGTCCTCTTGCAGGATTTGTGGCTCAACCCTTCAGTCATTTCCCCTCTGAAGTTCAGGCCATGGGGCTTTGGACCCTGAACAGTAGGGCCAGACCCTGCCTGCTACCATGGTTTGAAAAGAGACGCCTTTTTCCTTGACCTGAGAGACCATGGTTCTGACTCAGCCACCCACTGTCACTTTGGGTGAATTGCCTACTTCTCTGGGACCTCCGGAGATGAGGTTCTGGATCCTCTGAACTTTCAAGGGGCTCCCTCTGAGTTGCCCCCGCAGATATCTCCCTAACAAGCAAGACTAGCCGCCATGTCTGCTCTGTGTTTCTGAGGCTAAGAACAGGGGACCCAGGCCCAGCTGGTAAGCTCTGAGCTGGTTTCAGCCGGCTCCACGCCTTCTCAGGGGCACCCCTGCCAGCAGTGGGTGGGGGGGCAGAGTCCTAGGAATGCTCTGGGCCTCCGAGGTCAGCATGGGGCCTGGAGAGGCCTTTGAGCTCCAGATCTGTGCCCTCAGCTCGGCCCCCACCCCGCTGTGGGGTCTCCGGGAAGTCATGACAAACATTTCTTCAGAAAACATTCCGAGGGCTCTGGGGAGGACCCTCAGCCACGATGAGAAACAGTCATGGGGCTCTAGCCTGTGGGCGTCTCACAGCCTCGGTTTCCCTGTCTTCCTGGTGACTGTACCCTCTGGGGTGAAGAGCAGATGGGAACCTCTCCCTGGATGAAAGGGCATGTCACGGGCTGTTTCTTCTCCCCACACTCTCCTCTCCAACCCCGTTGTTTTTCTCCCCTGACCTCTTCTTCCCCTGCTTTCCTGTCCATCTGTCTACCCCTGGGGGTCCTGGGGATCCACCTCCCCCTTCAGTTCCCTCAGCCCTGCTTCCTGTCTGGACTGGGGTGTTTACACAAGACATGCCTATGGATGCTTTGGAGGTCATATTTCACCTGGTGCCTGACTGCCTTCCCCAGGCGCAGCCGCCAGCCGCAGCCCGGATCCCCTGCCTGGCCTGTGTTTTCCTTGGGCGGCCCTGACGGAGTGACGCATTCTTGGCAGCGTGTTTTTCTGACATGGCCCCAGCCCGTCCAACCCCCAGTGTGTTCCCAGGGATGTGGTGGGCTGGGGTGGGAGCTGCCTTCCCAGCCAGGGCACCGAAGGAACTGGGGAGGGGGAGGCTGGCTCTGCCCTGAACAGGCCAGAATAAACTGGGGCCCCCAGGGGAACTAAACTTTGACAATGGTGAGAACTATGTCTCCCATTCATCGTCTTGCCAGTGCCCACAGAATGTCACCTCCAGGGTGGCAGGGCTCCCCTACGCTGCCCATACAGTAAACACTTGTAGGACACACGAGTGGAGGAAAAAGTCACCTTCTGAGGTAGGAACTCTGGTTATCTCCGGACCAGCTAGTGAGAGGCCGATTGGGAGTCACTGCCCTGATGTGTCAGAGCCTAGTGCGTATTCCAGCCTCATGCTGGGATCTTGGGCCCTGTGATCAGCAAGGCAGGTAGGTTGGAAGGACCCGCAAGGGACGGACATGGGGTTCCTGGGGTAGCTGTCATTCTGATGCTCCACTTGGGAACTGCGCTCTCCTTCTTTCCCTCCCCATCTTCTCTTATCCTGGGCACGCTGGACTCCCACCTTGAAAAGATGGCACCTGCCAGCCCTGTGCCACACCCGGGGCTGAGCAGCAGGGGGTGGTGTGTGCAGGCCGAGGCTCAACTAGCCAGGAAGCACATCAAATGTAAGATTCCGTATTAAGACTATTTGCAAAACGACCTCAGTACGTCTTACTGTTTAACAGTCTGAAAAAAAGTTAAGGACAGTGTCACAGAGGAGGTGGCTCTTGACTTGGGTTTGCAGGATAGCCACGAGTTTTCAGGGGAATAAAGGGTTTGCTGGGGGAGGAGGTCATTCTAGGCAGGTGAAAGAACAAGGCAGTGGTCCCACGGAGGTAAGCTGGGGTCAGATGGAGGACTGAATGCCAGGCCAGGGGGTTTAGAACCCAGGCATCGAGGAGCCAAGGGCTGTGACCCTGTTTGCACACTTGAGGCAGAGTTTGTGGCTTAATAGAGGATTGACTTGGGGAACTAGTGAGTTGGAGGGTCCATGACCCCAAGGGCAGTTGGAAAGATGAGGTAGGAGACATGCAAGACTCTATACGGCTTGAGAGCCAGCCTCAAAGCAGCGGGCTTCGCAGAGGAGGAAGGGAGTGTGGGATGAGGGTGGAAGACCCGCCCAGCCCCGCCCTGAGCACAACCCTGTCCCTGGTGCAAACCAGAGCTTGCAGTTATCAGAGGGTGGTGACTGGGCCAATGCGGCTACAGAGCGCTCACTCGGGGATCCAGAAGGGGCCACCGTGGGATTGGGGAGGGACCTTTGGAGGGCCCCAGCAGGTGATGGTGCAGCCCCAGCTTCCCACCTGCGACCTGCAGCTGCAGAACTCTGGCCCTTCCTAACTGAGGGCGTTTGGGGAAGCCACAGCAGCCTGGCTGTCATCCCCAGACTCTCCCCTTTGTCTGCCTGGTGCTCCAGGCAGGCATGCGCAGGGAGGCTGGCCCGCTGCCAGAAGCTCTTCCTGTAGGCCGGCAGTGTGAAGGGGAGAGAACAGACCCTAATTGAGCCTTTGTCGAGCCTCCCACAGAGCCCCGGGCACTGAACGCAGCAGGGTCCCTGACTCCATGGACTCGTAGCCAGAATCCCACAAAGTCAAATTACAGAGGCAGGCCCCACACGCTGCCGCCACCCTGCGTGCCCTGTGTTGTCCGACCGTGCCGACCCTTCTGGCCGGTCCCTGCACCCCAGCTGACATCCCTCAGGCCCCACTTCAGATGCCATCTCTCAGAGAAGATGTCCAGGACGCGCCTCTTAGAACTAATCGGCGATCAGCAATCCCTCTCTCTGCACCTGGAGCCATGCCTGGCCTTTTGTGGACACTCCCTCATTTCACCTCCACCACCCCCTGCAAGAAGGTAGTGGGGTTGCCCTTTCACAGCTAAGAAACAGAAGATTCAGGGATATTGGGCAACTGAGGTTGCCCCAACTTGTTCCTTGTCCAGGCAGCCTGGGGGTGGCAGGACAGGTCCGAGTGATCCAGCATGTTGCAACTTACAAAGCTCTGTAGTCTCCGTATCTTGCTGTCCTCTCTGCTTGAGTCCATGGGTGATTTTTTTTTTTTTTAATAAAGTCTGCACTGTCTCCAGCTGGAGCTCAGCATCTTCTCCCAGACACGAACTCTTCCCGCAGCTGGCCTATCCACCCACCCCCAAGCCAGAATTCTGGGCATTTTGCTCAACACCTTTGTCTTCTGCACTCTACATAGCCAGTCAGTCACCAAGGCCAAAGAGGCTCGTGCAAGCCACACTGGCTACCTGGACCATCTCTCCTTAGTCCCCTAATGGGCTGCAGTGAATATCTGCTCTCCCAGTCTGGCCAGTCCCTCCCTGCCCCCTTGCCGAAGCCTGTGCCACCAGCCAGCCTCTCCTGCCCTTTCCTCTCTGCTTGTCAAGGCTTTCGGCTTCCTCCTCCCACCCGCAATCCCTCTGCGCGCCCCGCCTAACCCCTGACGTCTGTCCCCACAGTCTTCCACCAAAAGCCTGCGGACCACCATCGGGGAGGCCTTCGAGCGGCTGCACCGCTTGCTGCGGGAGCGGCAGAAGGCCATGCTGGAGGAGCTGGAGGCCGACACGGCGCGCACGCTGACGGACATCGAGCAGAAGGTGCAGCGCTACAGCCAGCAGCTGCGCAAGGTGCAGGAGGGCGCGCAGATCCTGCAGGAGCGGCTGGCCGAGACCGACCGGCACACCTTCCTGGCCGGGGTGGCCTCGCTGTCCGAACGGTAAGCGCCGCCCGCCCCCAGGGCCACCCGGGAAGTGGGAGCGGAGGCCGACAGGCTGGAGCTTGGAGATTGGGGCATTCAGATCTTCCTCAAACACACGGGGCATGGGCTGTGTGCGCGGGCCTCGGCCAAGGGCTTTTATAGCTCTGTTATTAAGTGTATGAAATGTATCCTCAGCGTATTTACTGTTGGTGTAATATGTTATTTCTATTGCAAATATATGTGATGTATATTGTATATAAGAACTGATACTGGATAATAGAGACTTCTATTAAAACCCGATTAGTCCCCTGGGAGGTAGTTGCTGTCATCCCTATTTCACACATGTAGAAAAGGAGGTACAGAGAAGTTAGCTCAACCCGCCAAGGCCCTTCATCTAGTGTGTGGAGCGGGGAGGAGAACCCAGGGCTGTGAGCCCATAGCTACCTTTCACAACAACATTATCATTGTTGTTATTAATAATGTTATCAATAAAGTTGTTGTTGTTGTTATTAATATGGGTTTGTTGATGAGCAACCCTGATGGCTAACATCATGCATTCATGTTGACCACCAGCCGCAAGCTCCTGCCTAAACATTTTGCAAGCGCCACGCCATGCAGACTCACAGCGTGTGAGGAGGGCAGTGTGCTCACAGCCCCCGTGTTCAAGACGAGGAAATTGAGGCTAATAGCGAGAGCGGTGGGGAGCCACACAGGCAGGCCCTGGAGCCTGGCCCGCAGACTTCACAGGCTGGACCCCACCCTGGGGGGACAGCTGCCTGCGAGGGGACAGACCCACAGCCAGGACACCCTGCTCTCTTGCTCTCCTCCAGGCTCAAGGGGAAAGTCCACGAGACCAATCTGACCTACGAAGACTTCCCGACCTCCAAGTACACAGGCCCCCTGCAGTACACCATCTGGAAGTCTCTGTTCCAGGACATCCACCCAGGTAAGGCCCTGCCCCCTGCTGCTCTCCGAGGGGGCCCAGCAAGAGGCAAGGTCATCCTAGCCATGCCCCCTGCTCTAAACATGGCCAGAGGCAAAGCAGAGGATGAGAAGGGTGCCTTGCTGTACCTGCTGTGTCCCAGGTACCTGCACCGTCACACAGCTCAGAGAATCCTCACACAACCCCATGGGTCGGTTCTAACTGGCACACCGAGGTCCCGAGAAGTTCACTCATGCATTCTGTACACTTAGTATATATATCTCAAGCATCCACCTTACACCAGAATGCTACACTAGGTGCTGGAGATAGAGCCATGACCAAAACAGTCAAAAATCCCTGCCCTCCTGGAGTTCACATTCCAGAGTGTGAGAGGGAAAGGAAGTTAGTAAAACTATATTGAAATGTGCCAATGGGTGAGGAATGGGGCGAGGCCATGTTGGGGGCAGAGAGGTTTTAGTTCGGGGAGCAGCAGATGTCACTGAGGAGACACTGGAGTACACACCCGGAAGAAGGACAGCGAGTCATGAGTGTAGGAGGAGTGGGAACAGCAAATGCCAAGGCCCGGAGGCAGGTGACAGTCTGGGATGTTCAAGGAACAGTAAGGGGCAGAGTGAGAAAGGACGGAGGTAAGGAGGTTCGAGAGGGAACCAGACCCTAAGTGCTGTAGGCCCTTGTGAAAACTGTAAATTGGCAGAAGTTACATGCGCTGGCTTAAGTTCTTAGAGGGTCTCCTGGGCTGCCGGGTTTGGAGCAGACTGAAGGAGGTGAATGGAAGCTGGTTAGGGGCAGTGCAGCAGCCCTGGCGAGTTGCTGTGGCAAGGAGCAGTGGCAGAAGCGGTGAGAAGTGATCCGTTACCAGATACATTTTGAAGGGCAAGCCGTCAGGATTATACTGTTGGATTGGATCTCAGGCCTAGAAAAACAAGCCCAGGCAGACTGCACCAACTCTACCCAAGGTGCCTGGAAGGAGGGAATTATGAGCATGTCAGGTTTGTGATGTCATGGAGGCCAGGGCTGGTGTCACCAGCATGTGGACCAGCTTTAAAGAGCCTGTATGAGGTCACTGAAAAAATAAGAGTAGGAGAAAACATTGGGAGCCCTGGGGCACTCCTTGAAGTCGGGGACAGGACAGGGACGCAGCCCAGGAGACCAAGAAGGAGCAGCCAGAGAAGTAGGAAAAACCCAGTGTGTCCCAGAAGCCAATGGAGAAAGTATTTCCAGGTGGAGAGAGAGGCTGGTGGTAGCAAAGGGGTGGAGTGGGGAGCCACCCCCTTCCCCCAGGTCCAGCAACATGAGGTGATTGGTGCCTTGACCAGAGCTGCTTTGGTGCTACACTAGGGTGGAAGCCTGAATGGAGAACATTCAGAGCGCCTGGGAGGAGAGGGAGTGGAGACAAGGCTTTGGGGGGTTTTTTTCTTAAGAGAGAATAGCAGCACTTTGCGGGGTGGTGGGGAAGATCCAGGGGGAGAAGGCAGAATGGGGTGAAGGAGAGGGAAAGGTGCTGGAGTGATGGCCAGGACTGGGATCCGCTGCTGCCTCCACTGGGCACCCAGACAGTTGAGCTCTGGGAGCCCAGAGAAGGGATCCTTGGGCGAGCTCTGTGCTGGGAACCAGAATGGTGAGAGCCAGGCTAGGTGAATCAGGATAAATGAACAAAGCGCAAAGCACATCCAAGGGTCCTGTTCTCTCCCCAGCTACCCACCCAAGGAAGCCCCTTGGGCAGATGGTCTCAGGAACACTTGTCGTCTGAGCGGCCACTTGCCTTTCCCTGTCACAGCCCAGAGAGGCAGTCCAGGCACCTTAGCCTGACATTCAAGGCCCTGTGAGATCTTCATATTCTCTCACTTTCTCCCCCATATCACACTTAGCCACGTGTTCAGATATTAAATGAGTCATACTCTCGCTCCTCTGCTCCTTTGCACATGCTGTTCCTTACTCTGCACAAACCTCAAACGTCGAGGGCTAACTTCTACTCTTACCATCTTAGTTTATAAACACCACCCCTTGGAAGCCTTCCTGGGTTTCTCCAGGTAGTCCTGGACTATGTTATGACAAGTTTTCACTCTCGTCAACATCTGTGTGATGCCGTCAACATCTATGTGATGGTCTCTCTCACTAGACTGTGAGTTCTTAGGGGCCAGAGACTGAGTCTGGTTCATCGTTATAAATCCCAGCAACCAGCACAGTAAATGTTTGTTGATAAATGAGTACAGAAATGAGTAAATCCTAATCTCGGTTCTGCAACTAGAGTAGTGCCTGGCATAGGTGCTCAATAAATAATTGTTGCATGAAGGAACTTGCTGCACTTGGTTGGATACGTCACATTCTCCTCTGAGCTTCAGTTTCCTCGTTGGTAAAACAGGCATGCTAAGAATTCCCTTCTCATCTCCCTCACAAGTGAGTAAATGGACATGCAGACTTGCTGATTGCCCAGGAGCTGGCTTTTCAGCCTCAGCACTATTGATATCTGGAGCTGGATGTTGCTGTAGGGTCTATCTACCCTTTGCAACATTCCCTTTCTCGACCCAACTATCCCTGTCAGTTGTGATAACCAAAAATGTCTCCAAATATTGCCCAGTGTCCCCTACCAGTAACTCAGAGAAGGCTGCCTGTGGGCGATGAGCAGAGGGAGCAGTAATGTGTGCCCCGAACTTCCTGCCCAGCACTGAGTTCCCTGGGGAGTTCAGACAACAGTGACCTGGTTAGCCAAGCCCCTTCCTTTGTCTGCAGAGCCTGTGAAGTCCCTCTGGCTCCTCTGCCAGCATCAAGGCCCTTTATGTTCAAATAGGAGGGCAAGCACCCCCCTCCACCACCCCCCAACCCCCAGGGACCCAGCCAGTAGATTCTAGCAGCTTCCTGCCTGCCCCCCTCTAGGTTAGATTTCCTATTGGGTCACCTGAGACCCCACCTTGCAGTTCACTCCCCCTGCTCAGGGACATCCACTCTCTACCACTACCTACCCCCTGACCTGCCCCCGACACTGGACCCCCCTCCAACAGCCAGGCCTGAAAGCCCACCTCCCTGACTCACACTTCCTCCCTGGTCAGGCCAGGTGGCCCATGACCTTCCTCCCTCTCCTGGGCTGCTCTTCTCTCTCCCTGTTCATTTGAATCCAATCATTTTAACTTCCAGCCTGTTCACTGGCAGTGTGACTCAGGGCAAATCACTGCCCTCTCTGTAAAACCAGGACAGCCATAGATATGTGTCCCAGGGTGGGAGTGGGAAGGAAATAAAATGATTTATTGGTGATCGTAGTTATCAACATGTGCTGATATATACTTGCTACCTGTTTGTGTTTATTACTGTGAACGATCGCATGGTGCCTTAGTCTTGCTGAGCAGGCAGACTCTCTGGGGCCACATCAAGGAAAGAACTTGGTGCCAAAAGCCCTCAGCTCAGGTTTCCATTCTGCCATTCTGCTGCTGTCCCAGGCGGCAACTTGAGCAGGCCGCCTAACTCCGAAGGCTCCTTGCAGCCTCAGCTTCCTCCTCGGGAAAATGGATGCAGTAGTGTGTGCTGCTGAGTCTGCGGCGGAAATGGCTTTCAAACCCGCAGGAGCAGCGCAGGTGCAGCCGAGGGCCGACATGGGTGAGTGGGCCAGACTTTCCCAGTCCTGGTAAGAGAGAGCTGATGGCATCAGACCCTGCTGGCGCAAAGCCTGAGGACAGAGGCATAAGCCAGTGGCTGCCGAGGGGTGGCGCTGTGGGGTTGTCTACTGTGGTGGTGCTGGCGTGGTTAATGCTGGTCAGGAGATACTTCCTGCCCCCGCCTGCACCCCCAGTCCATGTTCCCTCCTGAATGCCTTTTAACCTTGAGGTCTCCGAGATGCTTAAATGGATGAGAGCACACCTGGAGACCAGATGGGCTGCCTGAGCCCCTGCTGTTTGTATTTATATGGGACCTAGAAAAGAGCTCTAGAAAAGAGCTAGATTGGCTATCCAGTTGTGAACCCCAGGAACTGGTTTGTTTGTCTGAGTCTGTCACCCCCACCCCCGGGGAAGGTAAAGGAGGGGTAGGGGGTTGCCAGTCCCTGCTTTGGGACTGACTTATGAGGGGGGAGCAAGTGTCTTTCTCTTATCTTGAAGCAGCTAATCCCACCAGTAAAAGCAGGAGGGAGGCAGACCCCCAAAGACGAGACCTGTGTTTATGACAGGGTGGGAGGCGCTGCTGGAATCTGACCCTTTGGGATGTAAAAGCCTCCTGAGCATAGAAACCTCAGCCTAGTAAGAAACCAGGCCTCACCCCTAGGCCCGCCTTGAGGTGGGCCCTGTCTGATGCCCGCCTCCACTGCCAGTACAGCCAGTGGACAGCAGACCTGGCCACTAGCCCTGCCCAGTGAGTGGACCCTTTCAGCACCCCCAGGTGCTCCCTTCAGCAGGCTCATTTTTGTCTTCCCCAAGTCTTGTCCACTGCACCCACCTGGCTGCCTGCTAGACTGTCCTCTCACCCCACTGGTCTGCGACACCAGAAGGGGCCCCTCAGCAGAGGCCTCCTGCCCTGTGCCAGTCGACCCCGGACCTGCGGCCCAGCTTCCATGTCTGCCCACCACCGGTCTCCGTCATCCTGGGCCTCTCTCAGCTCTAAGGCCCAGGTGCCCACTGGGCGCTGGGCACTGGGCACTGCATCCCACCCCCACGCCTAGCAGGGTGCCTGTGCACCCCTCCCTCAGCTGTAGGCACCCGAGTGCACCCCGCCTTCCCCAGTGTGAGCCCCATCTGTGTCTGATTAGACTCTTCCCCACCCCCCAGACCCTCACACACTGCCTAAGCCCCCTCCCCCTACTGCCTCCTGACCCCACTGTGGGAATCCCCACATTCCTCCTGACAGGAGCCTTCTGGCTCTGACAGGCTGCGCTGTGATCACACAATGGGTGAAGTGTGCATCTGCGGACTGGGTATCTTCTTTCTCTGACTGGCTCTGCTCTGATACTGTTACCACCCACCCCTCTATTCACAGGGCTAATTGTTTCCATGCAGCTCTCTGAGTTCTAAGAACAGGGAAGAAGATTGTAAAATGTAAAACTAAATTTACATCTAGCAGAGTTCAGGGAAGGCATTTGACATGAGTCAAGGGTCAGCTTTGTGGACAGAAGCACAGTGCGGAAGCTGGCACTGCTCCCCACGGGGCACAGTCACATCACTGAGGCCTCTGGACTGCCAATGGAGGTGACTGGAGTATGTGGCAGTGCCCCAGTCCAGTGCCCTGCCATAAGGAAAGTGCCAGAGAACCAGAGGGGGAGTCCTTCCATCACACAGGACCTGCCAGCAGGAGTCCTTTCCCTACTTCTCTCCCCCTGGCTTGCTCTGGCCTGGAAATGGTCACCCGGGGTAAGGTGAGCCAGCTCCAGGGTCCTCCTCACGCTGGACATCAGCTCCCTCCCTCTGGGTTGAAGGGGTAAACAGACACCTTGGCAAGAGTTCGTGGGCTTTGAGAGCCAGTGTGGCCAGCCGAGAGCCAGGTGACCCACTTGTGCAGCCCGCCCGGAGAGCAACGCAAACAGGGTGGGAGGTTGTTCTGTGAGTCTCTTTGGAAACCTTCTCCGTGCCAGGCCTTGCTGGGCACTAGGCGTACAAGAGCCTAGATGGATAAGTACATCGTCCTCTCCCTCCTACTTGAGAGGGGGTGAGATGTGGGCCCAGAGACTAGCCCGTATCAAGAGAGGGGCACAAAGCTCGGGATCTCAGCAGAAAGAATCAGCACACCTGCAGGCAAGCAGGAAGGCTTCCCGGAGGAGGTGCCGGGACTGAGTCTGGGTAGTGACAGCAAGCACATAGGGGGTGGTGGGGAGCCTGAGTGAAGGCTTTGAGTCTGAGTGGGGTGAAGGGGGTGAGGATGGAGGGGGGCTAGCCAGTGAGAGGTAGGCTGGAGGGGAAGCTGAGGCCCAGAGAGGACAGGCTTGTATTCAACCTCACAGGAGGGGAAGCCGAGGCCCAGAGAGGACAGGCTTGTATTCAACCTCACAGGAGGGGAAGCTGAGGCCCAGAGAGGACAGGCTTGTATTCAACCTCACAGCTTCCTGGGGGCCGACCAGAACCTGCCCTCGGGGAGGCTCCAGAGTGGGGTCTGCAGCCTTCTCCTCACTCATCTTCCGCCCCCAGTGCCAGCCGCCCTGACCCTGGACCCAGGCACAGCCCACCAGCGCCTGATCCTGTCGGATGACTGTACCATCGTGGCCTACGGCAACCTGCACCCCCAGCCGCTGCAGGACTCCCCGAAGCGCTTTGACGTGGAGGTGTCGGTGCTGGGCTCCGAGGCCTTCAGCGGGGGCGTCCACTACTGGGAGGTGGTGGTGGCGGAGAAGACCCAGTGGGTGATCGGGCTGGCCCACGAGGCCGCGAGCCGCAAGGGCAGCATCCAGATTCAGCCCAGCCGCGGCTTCTACTGCATCGTCATGCACGACGGCAACCAATACAGCGCTTGCACCGAGCCCTGGACGCGGCTCAACGTCCGCGACAAGCTTGACAAGGTCGGCGTCTTCCTGGACTACGACCAGGGCCTGCTCATCTTCTACAACGCCGACGACATGTCCTGGCTCTACACCTTCCGCGAGAAGTTCCCGGGCAAGCTCTGCTCCTACTTCAGCCCAGGGCAGAGCCACGCGAACGGCAAGAACGTGCAGCCGCTGCGGATCAACACCGTGCGCATCTAGTGTGGATGCGCGAGTCCGTGGGCGCCGGGGGATGGCCGCCCGCGAGAGCCCTGCCCGCGGCGGGAGGCCGGACTCCGGCCCAGCTTGGCCACGCTGAGACCTCGGGCCAGTGGTTGGCCCTTCGGCCTCCCGTTTCCCTGTCTGTGAAGTGGCGGCCGCGCTCGGTGATTCCTAAACTCTTTCAGCATTGATGTTCCATAGCTGTGACGGTGATTGGGATGTAGCTTTGGTCTGAGGATGTGATGTGACTTCTCCCCAGGGCAGCCCCTGCCCCACCCTCACCCCCCTCCGGTCGGGAGCAGCTGTGGGGAGGAGGCTTCCCTATGCTTCCCTCCTCTCCACATGCCCTGGCCTCAGTGTATCCAGGTGCTGCCAACAATTGGCAGCCTGAACCCTCTTGTGCTCCCAGACTTAAGACTTGCCCCTGGCCAAGCTAGAGAGGGGCCATTTTATGTTTGACCCCAGCCCAGAGTTGTCTGAGGACCTTTCCCACACCAAGAGCTTGGAGGCTCCTGCCTTTTGTACCTATGGGCAGGTAGAGATGACGTGCACATCATGGTCCCTGGGCCACCACCTTCTGCCCGCAGGCTGAAGGCAGCATTCATGTCCTATAGCTGCGTGCCTTGGAGTGCACTCCAAGGCCTATGCAGAACTCCATGGCGACGGGACATGTGTCACTGGTGCTGGAGGTCCCCAGCACTGTGGATGAGGAGGCAGCCAGGCCTCTGGGGCCGGGCCCGGGAATGGGAGGCCTCGGGAGCAGAGTTTGACCAGGACCCGAGCACTGGTACTGTGGGCTGGGACTCCGCATCAGGCTTGGGGTGCCTCTCAGCTGGTATCCTGTTGCAGAAAACAGGAGCTGCTTTAACTAGTTCCACTAGCAAGGATTTGTTACCAGGTGCCTAGTGGCTTTGCAACATCGTTGGAGGAGCAGACGCTTTGCTGGATTTCCAGGAACGATCCCAGATAGCTTCGTCACACATTCCATGATCAGGGACACCGCTGCCATCTGCAGAAAGTCACTGCGTCAGGAAGCCGCTGAGTGCAGAACCATCTGTGCCAGCCAGCGGATGCCCTGAGGCCTGCTTCTCTCCCACTCAATTCAGTTCCAAATCTGAATCTCTACAAGGGATTCTGTTTGGGGAAACTTAAATCAGATCCAGAACTTTGGCTGCAAAAGAGTCTGGGAATTATATATTCTCTTCTTTCCAGCATCAGCCATGCAAAAAGGCGCATAGAAGGAAATTAGAATGCATGTTGAACAAACCCACCACAGTTTGGGCCCCTGGCATCCACTTCTAGGCTTCGGCTTTGAAATAGCAAGTGTCCTACTCTGCGACTCTGGCCCCAGAGGGTGGGCCCACAGGACAGAGCTGTGGCTTCTCTTTCCAGTCCTGAGATCTAGATCCTGAATTTGGGGTCTCTGACCACACCCATTCCAAAGGACCCAGTCAGGCTAGCTGAAGTTGGGAGTCTCCCACCTCATAGCTGCTCCCCACTGGGGCCTCTCTTGGGCAGCAGGAATCCTCAGTCTTCCCTTTCCTCTTCAGCTACCGGAATCTGGGCCATTCCCAGCAGTGTTTTTATTTTAAATGTTGCCCATTTTGTGAGTTACGATGAATTTGTATTAAATTAAGTTACAGGATGTCAGTGGTCAGTTCCGTTCATTTTGGCAAACATAAAGGCACACAGCACACAGACGCCATCCGGGTAACCCACACTGCTTCTGGGTAGCAGTATGATGCCCATTTTACACGAGAAGTGGAATGAAGCTCAGAGAGTTGCTTACAGGCCCATGTCCCCCAGTGGGGCTGGACCTGCACTAGAACTGAGTTCCAAGCCAGCGTTTGCCTCCTCCCAGAGGGGGAGCCCTAAAGGAGACAGGAGCTCAGGAAACCGTGGCAAGAGTCTGATCTCTGCAGCCACGCACACCTGGGCTCAAATTCCTAGGCTTCATCACTGTGACTAGAGAAATTGCTTCACCTCTCTGGGTCTCAGACTTCCTGCATGGAAAATGGGGATTTGTGGTAAGCCGCAAAGCGCAGTCTCTTGGGGAGCCCTGCTACCAGGAACTATGTGGGTTTTCTGAGCCCCTGGGCTAGGGTCTGGGCTGGCTCTGCCCCTAACGAGTCTCCGTTCCTCCTGTGGTTTGTGAGGACTGCGGACTGCCTAGGCCAGGAAGGCCCCAGGTCTGCGTGTAGGCGGCCCAGCCCACCCCTGACTGCCAGGGACTCCCTGTCCAGGCAGCGGGGCCCCACACATGGACACACGGGCTGCGTGCGCTGGAGCGGGAAGGCTGCCCGGCCCTGTGGTTGTGCAGTGCAGCTGCCGGGAAGCGGGAGGTCCTGGCCTGCGCTTGCTCTGCACTGTCCTTTCCTCTGTCTCCTCACCTGCAGAGGGGGAGCTTAGACCGGCTGCCCTCGGATGCACCTACAGCCTGGAAGTGGGGAGAGAAGTGAGGAAGTACCCCTGTTATTGACAGGCTTAGAGTTCTAGAAGAGGGGTTTGGACATGAATTAGGACAGGGTGTTGGCAAGTATGGGGGAAGAGCACCCCACAGATGTTATGGGTAACCCCCAGCACCTTGCCCCACCCCACGCTCTCGGATTCCCATGACTCCCCCAAAATCATTCCTCTTCATCTCAATGATCTTTCCTGGTTCCTCTCCCTCTGGGAGAGAAGCACCCCCCATCCACAGCCCTTCCTGCCCTTACCCCACTTGACTTCAGCACGAAGTCCAAGGACTGCTGGCCACTGCCTGCCTTCCTGCCTGGCTTCCCGGGGTCTAGGAGGAACTGGAGGAGTCTCAGTGCACACCCAGCTGGGGATTCGGGAAAGTCAGAGGCTTAACTTGCCCAGAAGATTCCTTAATGAAGGATCTGCAGGTGTCAGGCCCCACACTTAGCACAGGTAAGTGAAGAGACAAAGGCAGCCCAGCCACCAGAAGGCAGGCAGGGTCAGCAGAGGTGTTACCCACACAGGAGAGAACTACAGAAGCTCCCTTCGAATCCCTCTTTGTGGTCAGCAAGCAAGTCTTATGGAACCACTGAGTCAGGCCCGTGGGGCTGATGGTACCTCCATGGGTGAGTGGGGAACTGCAGGGCCCCACTACCAGCTCAGCAGAGCTGGAGAGCAGACCCAGGCCTGTGCAAGACTAAAGCCGAGCTCTTCACTGGGCTCTGACCTGGGGACCGATTCAGTGTGCAGTATCAGCCACCAGAACTGTGAGCCCACATGGGGGCTGAGCACTCCAGACTCCACAGCAACTGTGAGCCAAGACTCCCTGGTCTCCCGCTGTCAGGGGTGGACTCACAAGAGAAGGCAGGATGTGACCCTGAACAGGTCTTTCTCCCTCCCCCCACTAAGTGGAGGGGCCAGAGATCTAGTGAATTGATTGCCAAGGACCACTACCCCTGACAGCCCAGGACTCAGGCCTGCTCAGCATCTGACAAGACCTTAGTTCCGGGTCCTTCTCTTTGGGGAGGAGGCAGGAACCGAAAACAACAGAGATAAGGTCTCCTGGCAGCACAGAGCTCAGCTGGCCTGAGCTCCGGGGATGGGCCTAGCCTCCTGCCAGAGAGGCCATCCCGGGAGGCTGACTGCTCACACCTGGGTTGCGCTCTGGACCCCCTCCCTTCCTGCCTGGGTCCTGGCTCTGGTCACACCCCCAAGAAGTCAGTGGAAAGGGGCCTTGTCAGAGGTTTAAATGCAAGGGTAGGGGCGCGCTAAATCGCCATTGCCCACTGGGCTTGTTTTTTTTGCCTTGGTCTGGGACACCCATGACCCTGACAGTGTCCTGGAGACCCTGACTCACATAAGGGAAGAGAGGCTGGTAGAAAGCAGAACAGAAAGGGGAAGGAGAGGGGGGGGACTAGAGGGTTGGCAGAGAGCGAGCTGTTTGTTTTTAAAAAGTAGCAAGAAGAGGGAGGATTTACTTTGAAATGTGCTTGTTTTCCCTTGAAAATTTTTTTTTTTTAATCTGGATGAAATGACGTGATTTTTTTTTTTTAACCGTAGATAGATACAGAATAGATCCATCTTTTAGTTTTCAAAATTTTGACATTTCTATCATACTACTCATGTTACAAACAGAGAACTTAGGTGAAGTAGGGAAAGAGCTGACACTTTTGGACCAGAAGCCCAGGGGCTTCCAACCCTGAAGTCCTGACAGGAAAGACTGGAGCCAGAAGCACAAGTCCCAGCTCCCCAAAACTTCTGGCCTCGCTGTAATCAAGTCTGAAAGCTGGTGGGGCTGGAGGTCCTCCTGCCCTGTCCTGAGACCCAGAGAGGGTTGGTTCTTAGTGGGGGGTCAGTCACCCTAGCTGAGACCAGGACCCAGGCTCTGGTTCCAGTCAGCATGCAGGGGAGGGGCCAGCAGAGAGGCCTCACCCAGGCAAGGAAAAGGAACATGAGGAAGGAGAAAGGCCAAGGGCAGGTTGGGGCAGGAGGTGCTCCAAGAAGTACCCCCATGTCCCGGGTGCAGGGGCACTCCCAGAGTCCCAGACTGCAGCTCTTCAGAGAGGAGGGGACAGTGGGGTCACAGGAAGTTCTTCTGAGGTAGAGACAGCCCAGCTCTGACAGCAAGACAACCTAGCATGGCAGCATGCTGGTCAGAGTCTCAGACTCCAGGATGGCTGCTGAGAGACCGCTGAGTTCAACCTGTCACTGTGCAGGTTAATGACACAGAGGGGAGATAGCCAGGCTCAGACCTCTCCCAACTCCCAGCCTTTTCAGGCAACCTTTAATCTCCCCCATCCCATCCCCATCACCCCTGTAGATTCTGCTGCCTCCTCCTACCCCCAGGGACCCTGAAGCTGAGCAGAGAGAAGGGGAGTGGCCAGGGCTCCCACAGCCCCAGGCACCCAGAGCTGGATGCCTTCCTGTCCTCCTTCCCAAGGAGAAGGGGGTTTGGCCCAGAACGCACAGTCCCTGTATCCAACAGATAGGGCCTGGCATCGCCCAGTGCCTCCCTCACTGGCAAAAGAGCTGAACAGCCGGAGCAGAAACACTGGCCAGGAAGGTGCTGGAATCTCAAGTGCAAGTGAGTGAGGGCATGGAGTCATGGCCCCCAATTCAATGGTGCTAGACTTGGCCCTGGACTGCTGGGAATGTGGGAATCTTTTCTCAGAGAAGGGATTTTGCCCCCCACTTCCGTCAGGCTGAACCCTGTCTACTTTCTCTGCCCATTGCAAACCTCAAGCCAAAGCCCCCCAGACCAAACTGCCAGAAGTGAGGTTTTGGGCCCAGCAGTTCTGTTCCTGCCACTGAAAAGGGAGGTGCAAGTGAGGGCCCCAAGAGGTCCCAGGAAAAGCAGAGCCTGCAGGCTGTGTGTGGGGCTGTGGGTTGAGATGGGCGAGACCTGAGACTCGCTGAGCCTGAGGGGACGCCACCTCCTGACCCTGATCACCAGACAGCTCCCTTCATCCCCACCTTGAGGGTGCCCATTCCTTACTGGGGGTGGAGGGAGGTGCTGGGAGCCCCTGGCTGAGGGGCAGCCCCTGGTTCTAATGTTCTGGCTTGAGGTAGTCTCACGCAGTTTGCCCTCCCCTTCACCCTCTTCCCTCCCTTCACCCTTCTCCCTCCCTTTCCTTTTTCAGGACCTCCCTCAGTCATACCCCTTCCATTCCTGTCAAAACCTTCCGCCTGTGTTCCTCCCTCAGAGCAACTAACTGCCTTAGGGCGGGAAGCTTCTCCCTCCCCCACTGTCCTGCAGCCACCAGCCTGGTGGTCCACCCTCAATTCTAGCGATTTGAAAGAGACTTGTGGAGCCCTTGGCATCATCTTCACGAGGTTTAATGGTTAAGAGGGGCCACAAGCCAGCGGAGAGACAGCAGGTCGAGCCCCTCCCCCAGGGGACTCTGCTTTTATCCCCTCTGCCGGGACCCAGGTGTGCACACAGCACATGCGCACGAGCACGCCCACGCCCACGCCCAGGTGTCCTTAATCAGGCAAGCGTGCCCCTCACCCACGCGTGCCCCCACCCACGCGGCCCCACGCACGCGCCCCACGCCCACGCGCCTTCTACATGGCCAGATAAACGCCGCAGGTGGTAGCCGCAGAGGCCAATGGCATAAAAAGCCTGATCGACTTCATTTACCCTACACCCACCTACACCCATTTATCGAGGGAGCAGGTCCCCAAAGAGTGGCTGTTGGTGCACCACAGCAAGCAGCTGGGGGGAAGACGCTGGGGATCAGAAGGGAGAGGGCCACCTTCTGACGGGGTGCGTGGCCAGCTCTGCAGCAGCTGTTACTGTGTGCACACCGGTGGAAGTGCTGTGGGTCCAGGGACCAAACCCCCACCCAGGTTCCACTCTTGGCCCAGCTGTCGCCTCATAGTCCTCACCAGCTCCCTGACACAGGCGGTGCAGACAAGCACCATGTCTTCAAGGGCTCCCTCTGGAGAAGGAAACGACTGTGCCTTTAACGCTAGAAGGGGGCACCCAGTTGTTAGAGCCCCAAACAGAGCCTGAAGCATCTTGGGTCCTTGGTAGCCCTGCTTTGGGAATACTTGGTCTTTCCTAGAACACCTTTGCCCTCCTCGTTTGTTTTCTGTTGAAATCTTACCCATCTTTCCAGTCTCACTCAAGGGTAAGCTGTACCCCAGGCCCTCACAACTTGGGTCCCCCACAACTACTAC